CAAGATAGCAGCTAGTTAAAGGGTCTCCTCTGAAGCTGTGAAAGGCCATTGCCACCTTGAGGTCGACTGGCAGGCTTGGGTGAAATGAAGTAATGATCTGTCCACTGACTTCGTTGAAGAGCCTCTCTGCTGCAAAGGCAGGAGCTCTGGGTGTCCCTTGGACAGAACCAGAACAGAGCAGTGATTTCCCTTCCAAGGCCGAGAAGGCAAACTGCTCATGGTGCCTGAGAGCTTAACGCTGACCTCCCAAACGGCACTGAACATCCAGGGTCCCCTTAGCAGACGTGGAGACAGGCCAACCCAGCCTAGGAAGGAGGTGTGTTCACCACTGGTAGTTAACACCTCCTTAAACCCTGGCTTGCTTTGCTGGATGGAGCCGTAAAAATGCCCATTGTCTCTGTAGGATGACAGACTTTAAGTCATCGTATTCTCATGATTAACATCAGGTTTTCACCCTGGTTATATGCAGCTGCTTGAGGAGTCATACCCCTGTTGCCCAACAGATTCTTCCCAGATGGCTCCTCCTCTAGTTTCACACCTCGTGGTTTCACAGCTGCCGTTTTTTTACAATTTCAAGTAGCACTGCTTCAGTAGTAAGCGAAGGAGGAGGACCAGGAAAAATAACTGACTCTTCAGGGAAAAAACCCCTCAAACATGTTCCTGTCTTTGTGAAGAGCTTGCCCTGCTGATGTTTGATTTTAACCTACTCTGTATAATTTAACCTGGGCTACTAGCAACTGTCACAGAAAAACCTCATTTCAACAGATTTGGTTTTTCTCAGCATGCCACAGAAGCTCCCCAAAAGCACCATGAGGGCTGATGGATGTGTGTGCATGGTGCTGCCTGCTCTGCTGACTTTCTCGCATCCCAAGTGTCTATCAGTGAGCATGTCCCTATGTTCTCCCATGAATGGGTAAACCAGCAGTGAAGTATTTGCAACTTCCAGACATTGAGCTTTCCCTCTGAGGAATGATCTTCCCAAGAGCTGAATCGTCTGTCTCCCTTAGTCAAGTTAGGTCATGGTGTTGGCACAATACTTTTCGTGCTAGGAGTGGGAATGAGATTACTCCTTAATGTCACTCTGCTGTTAATTAACGAGCCAGGGAGGAGATTAGTGCCATTGTTTCAGTCTCTGTTGAGTTAGCACAAGGTGCCTTAAGTTTATCTCTCCAACCCACTCTTTTTATCACTGCTGGGACCCGTAGCAGCTGGAGGCGTGATTTCAGCGAAGGCATCGCATAATACAACTTTCTTGTGCCTTGGAGGACTTCCTATCTCCATCCAGGATATTGGCTGAATGCAGAAGCAAACACACAGGTGGCCCCGCAGAAAGATGCTTGTAGCCTAAGCCCTTGTGCTTATGGATGTGACTGGACAAAGGTTGTTGCTTCTGGAAGGTATCCATTACACAGACTTTGCTTTAATCACTGATTCCAAGCTGGTGGGTGTTGCATCAGTCCCACTGCACATTAAATACCCAATTGATTGCAAGGAAAATGTGAATGTTTCAGCCAGCAGGAATCTCCTGAATTGCTTTAACTTTTCATTTTTAATATATCCCAAGATTTTTTTTAATGCCATAATAAGCCAACCCTCCTTACTTTGGTTTTTTTCTTCTGTTGGTCTTCTGTTGTTCATCTCGATGCCCACTCACCCAGTCATCTTCCATTCCTCAGTTTACCACTGGCACCTGTAATGATGCTGCATTGCATAGCTGCGAGCTGTGTGGCAAAGGCTTTCGCTTGCAGCGAATGCTCAACCGTCACATCAAGTGCCACAGCCAAGTGAAGAGACACTTGTGCACCTTCTGTGGAAAAGGCTTCAATGACACCTTTGATCTGAAAAGACATGTCCGGACCCATACTGGTGAGAATGCATTCCCTGGGGACTCACAGGAGGCTCTGAGGAGTAGGAGGTGGGAGGAGGGGTGAGATGGAACAAGGACAAGGAGAGGGTGAGGGTAACCTGGCAAGGCCATAATACAAAGCCCAGGTTAGCAATGTTTGCAAAAAATAGTGGGGTTGCAGTGGAGGAAAGGGGAAGACATGAGTGTGGACAGAGAAAAATCCTGGGAATGATGAAATCTGAGAACTAGTGAAAGCTATGTGAAGTAGTGCGGGTACATGGCCTGACATCCAGACCCAGTGTACACAGCCACTTGCTGCAACGCCTGGGTCAGGAAGATTGGGATAAACCCACCGAGGATAACCTGTGTGGGATGACCCACCTGGAATAGCAAATCACTGCAAGTTATTGTGAGACCAGTGCACAGGGACAAGCAGAGGCAAGAGGTGGATGAAAGTGCTTTTGCCCTCTAGAGGCAGTGAGCAGCAGTTTCCTGGGTTTTTTTTTGGCTGTTGAGAACCTTCCCTGCTGGCTATTTCACTGGATAGGGTTGTGGCTCGATTTTGGCACTATCTGGAGAAACCAGAGTGTTGTTCATGCTGTGCCTGCAGCTTCTTTAGGGAAACTAGGCAACACACCTGACTTCTGCTAACCCTGCATGCTGCATCCCTTCCTGATTTGGGCTACCAGATCCTCCAGCTCCCCTTTGGAGCTGTTTCCTTCTGCACGTCCAACCATCCAGATCACTTTGGCCACTGGCCTAAACCATTTTTATTCACATGTCATGTGGGGTCACAGCATGCATTGAAAATTAGGAGCAGTGGGTTGAAAATCACCTGACAGCGGTTCCTGCTCTTGCTCTTTGTATCGCTCTCTCAGGCCAGAGGAGTATGGTTTCTGTGGCCAGTCTGCTGTGGATTGAGCTCCCAAGTCCATCCCAAATAGTGGTGGTTATGGTTCTTTGAACTGGATCTGTTGCCTCAAATCAACCTCACGGGCACAGAAGTGCTTATCCCAGGCTGGAGCCGGGACAAGGCTGCCCATTTTTATTTGCTTTCTTTTTCTTGGTGGGATTAAATAAATATCAACCCCCATCCTCACCAAGTGCGATACTTTCTGGCAGGTCAGGTTGGCTGTGCTCAGCAGGCTTTGATTTTGCAGTGTTGGGCACACAGAAGATGCATCCACCACATCTCACAGGCACATTCCATCTTTCCAAATGTGTGGTTACCCAATGGGAGCTGAAGACTGTGGGCTTGCTCTGCAGTGCCCTTTCTTTGGCTTAGGCAACATTAACCAGGCAAACTGCTAGAGGCCACACAAGTGTAATTGGTAGGAAGGAGCTGTTTCTTAACAGTAGAGCAACAGAACTCACAAAAATGATGCCCATTTCAATGGGAAGGCATTGGCTGGGGCCAATGTTTTGGGCTTTTTTGGTTTGTTTGCAAAGTTTTCATGTGGAAAGTAAAGCTGCTGGCTGTGAGCAGGGGGCTGCCACTGGGATATGGCTGAAGTGGGGAGTCAGTGCTTCTAAAAGAAGCGATTTTTCGATCTCTACCCTCATCCTTTGAGACTAAGAAACTAAAGCCAAGACAGTCTCTGTTCAGAACCTGTGGCAGGTAGGGTTGAATTCTCTTTGCAGGAGTGGAACAAATGTTGTGAAACACTGGAAGGGGAGAAGATCTTTTTACTGGACAGGAGTGAAAACTCTGGAAATGTGAAATCTTTATGGTTAGATTGTCCCCAAATTAACTAGATGAAATCTGCTGTCACTATTTCTCCTCTCCATTTTAAAACTGGGATGAACACACACATACACCATATTTGCTTGGTGCCTTGGATGGTGGCAGGAGTGAGGGCTGGCTGCAGCAGTGGTACCCATAATGTATTGGTGTGTATCTTTTCCAGGCTGAGATACGGCATCTCTGAAAGCAGGGACCTTCTTTATATCGAAGTTGGTTGTTGTTCAGGAAAGCTGGGCTATGTTTGAATATTAAAAAGAAGGCAAATGGGTTGGAAGTGGTTCTATGGGCTTTATTTTGTAGCTACAGGTGATCATCTATATGTGCTTTATTGGGTGTGGGTGTTTCGGTGGAAACTGTCATGCAGTGTTTGAAATGAGACTGTGCAACAGTAGTGTCAGAGAGAGTAAAAGCATCCCAGTCTACCTTGAGGTTATAAGCAGACCTAAACATAAAAAAGTATCTAAGATACACGGTAAAAGAAAATTTTTAAACGATTCCTTAGTGATGAAGAGGTTCCCACAGCCCTCATGGGCTGTGCCATCCTGGCACTATCCTTTTTGTGCTTGTATGTATGCCTGTGGAGCACTGGAGCGGGCACCAAGGATGGTGCCTGCAACTTAATTCTAATTGCCTTCAGATGCGCATAAAACTACACCCAAACTACTGTTTGTAGGAAGTACATTTTTGTGTGTGAATCCTAAAGAAGGTTTGGAGTCTGCAGCTGCAGTTTAATGCAACTGAAGCAGTCTCACAGCAGTAGGCATTAGGACGCTTCGGTGTTGATAGTTAAATCCGGTGCGCTGGGATAACCACTTTACAAGACTTGCAAAAACGCGTCAAGATGCTGCTTATGGGAACTTCTGTTTAGCTTGGATTTTTGGTAGAAATATCAGCGACTGAGCAGTTATGTAACACAATGCAATCACAAAGTTACCTTTGCCTGAATGGACACACGTGCTTTGCCCATTTCTGCCTGGCTCACCATAGGTCTGATCTTCCAGACCCTCATCTTTCACCTTCTGTGGGAAAAAGACGTTAGGTAACGCCTTGTATCAGTTTTAGGGCTGGTCTGTGCTTGAAAACTTACTGATCTAGTCTAGTAAGTAAAATTCCAGCTGGTTTAGGTTCTTTTGAGTGATGCTTAATCCTCAGCTATTTAAGAACTGGAGGGTTGTTAAATCAGTGTTGATTGGCGGTAAAATGTATGTCCTTTACTGCTCAGTATTTCTGTAATGTTGGTTGTCTGTACTGAACAAAATTGCCCGGGCATTCAAATCAAAGCCAGCTCCTTCTCCCTCCTCTGGAGACAGGCAGACTTATTTCACAGAATGACAGAACATGCTGAATTGGAAGGGACCCACAAGGATGAGTCCAACCCTTCTTTCATCTTACTGCATTTCTCTTCTAGAATTTGAGCTTGTAGTCTCAGTCATCAATTCTATATTGTACAAAAGTGCTCTCGCTCCTTTGAAGCACTGCAATAGCTGAGCATTCACACTGGGCTGCCATTCACTGAAGCCTCTGTAAGTTTTGTTCACTAAAAGAGAAAAATCAAAATCTTACTGAGATAGAAGTTTTTATTCATTATAAAACCTGAAATGACAGGTTAGCTGAAATTTTTACCTCATCACAGGACTTCAAAAAGTCAGGGGTTTAAGAGTAAGTTTTGCAAGAGCTGTAATAGCTTCTTTAGGACCAAAGCACAGTTGGGCCACTGTTATCCTCAGCGTCTGCCTACACCTTTTCAAAACATTTCTACGTTTTCTATGCCTAAATGTCAACCCATTCCTGAAAATCTTAGCCTGAAGTGAGGATGTTTTATTTAGATAGGTGGTTCCTTGGGCTAGTAGCTCCCCACCGCTAGATAAGTGCTCAGTAGCTGCCAGAGCCTTGCTCCTAAGGCAGCTGTAAGAAACGTAAATCAGAATGGTCTTTTAATGTTGCAGGAATTCGTCCGTACAAGTGTGAGGTTTGCAACAAAGCCTTTACCCAGCGCTGTTCCCTGGAGTCCCATCTCAAGAAGATTCATGGTGTGCAGCAGCAATATGCCTACAAACAGAGGCGAGATAAACTTTACGTGTGCGAAGACTGCGGCTACACAGGCCCCACGCAGGAGGACCTGTACCTGCACGTCAGTAACGTTCACCCTGGAAGTGCTTTCCTGAAAAAAACCTCAAAAAAACTTGCAGCAGTTTTGCAAAACAAACTGAGCCCTGTCCTGCAGAGGAACTCCAAGGATGATGACAAAGATGAGTAATGAAGTGGATCACAGTGGTCTAAGGAATGAAGTTTACATGTAGGACAATATATATACATATATATATATATTATTTTTTTAAAAACAATTTTGAAAAACCTGAAATTAAAGGGATGCTTTAATTAATGGGACTCTCTTCTTGTTGGTAGAACCTCAAGTGGAAAGAAATATTCCCATTTATGATGGAAACATCAGACTTTTTTTATCTGGCCAATAAAAATGGAAAGCTTGGAAGAGGCTGTCACCTCTCACATGGAGTATTTACTGAACTGATATTTGGGCAATCTGTCTTCTGTTTCAGCTCTACCACACATCAGCTGCCACTGACAAATAAGTTCACCTTTCTCTGTGTATTTTGTAAAGTTAATTTCTGTTACCTCCTGTACAAATTACTTTTGAGAGGTTTGAGTGAAAAGCGCCAGGTAAGAACAGCTTGTTCTATGCAAATTTAATTTAAATGTCTTAAGAACAGGAGTACATTGTATTGGTGAATAAGTTAAAATGTGCAAATAACCTTAACTCTGCCCCCTATGCAGTAGCTAACAATTTATGGAAGTGTGATGCAAGGTGAGTTGAAACTCTTCTGAAAGGATGCAGAACTTTTTCCTCCCAAACTTCCTCTACTAGCAAATTACATTATTCCAGGCTAGACTTTTGGTTTTGATTTAGATATTTTAAGCCGTGAACTTACCCTTATGTTTAGATGCAAGTAGAACCTTAACTCTCATGTTCCTGGACTTGTCATGCTTTGAGGATTATTACCACATCCTTTTAACATACATCAGTATCAGCCCAGAAACCCAAAGAAAACTTGAAGATAAGTATTTTCTGTCATGACGAAATGCAATTTTGTCCATATTTTGGGGATTTTTTTTTTTTTTTTACAATCAAATGCTTCTTCACTAATACAACAGAGCAGTGCAATGCAGCGAAAAGGGGGACTTCGCCTGTCTCTGCTTCATGAGATCAGTGCAAAAGTGCAGGCATGAATCTGGCTGCTCATCTGTATCCACTGTCAGTTTAGAAGGCTCCTAGTGAGACTGATGCTACTGGGGAAGGATGGGACGATGATGATGATGAGGGACTGGTGCTACCTGTGCTACCTCTCCGTGCTTTTGGATTTCTGTAGTCCCACTCCAGCTCCTATTGACCCAGGACAGTTAAGAGGGTAGCCTGTGGGGACTATTAAAAAAGAAAAAAAAAAGCTGTACATTTGGGGAGGATATGCTATATTCTATATATGTTGAAACAACAGCTGAAATTAAGCCACCTAAAATACAGAGTCCAGCATAGCCAGAACTTTCATTGTCATTACTGCTAAAATGAGAGATTCTGAGCAATTTTGCAAGAATTGTAAAAAATCATTTCAATTGGCTTCAGTTTTCTGCAGGCATCTGCTTGGGTTTTTGTGGGGAAAAGATCCTAAGGGTTTTAAAGCATTCCTAATGATATTAATACTTTATTCAGCACAACTGTTGGTGCTTGGAATCTTGAAAGCAAGGATAATAAAGTGATGCTACTGTGTTCATTCTATGTAACAGGAAAGTTCACAGAATAATAAATGGGAAGTTGCTGGTAAAAAAGCATCTGAGGTAAATTAGAAGATCCTGACTTGGCAAAAAGAGCTAAAGCTTATGCACTGATCCTCGGTTCTTCGGATATCATGCCATTATAACTGAACAGTATAAAGAGAAGGTTGCTCACTCTGAGCGAAGCTTGCTTGCTGGCAAATACAGTCACGAAACTGCTGGGCTAAGGAAAGCATTAACAGCTGGTTCAGCCAGTTGTGCTGGCGAGACTCCTCCATAACCTGCTCGGTGAGGCCTCAGTCATGAAACTGTTGAGTTCTGCTCCAGGCTGGGACTGTTTGTGACAGTCCCTCTGAGCAGTTCACCCAACTGCACAGGATTCGTGTGCTCAGCTCTGCTGAAACCTCAGTCCTTACACGGGTGCAGGGGAGCCAGGGCTGAAACCCTCCCTTTCCAACTAGAGACACATTTTGTGTTTGTTCATGTGTGCATGGGCTGTTTTTTAACCCCTCCTGTAGCACATACTGGTTTTGATGTCCCTCCTGTATCGCTGCCAGAGAACATCCCTGTTAAAAGAACCATAGGCACAGTGAGGTGGTCACAGAAAGCACTCGCAGCAACAGAGAAAGGGAGCAATTAACAGTGCACAGTAAAAAACCCTCTCTGGATGGAGAGCAAAGCTCCGAGAAGCTGGACGTTGTAGCTGAAGGGACTGCTCTGATTGCCTGGCAGGTTTTTCTGCAGAGGATAATGCCCTGGGCACATCAGTTTCACAGCCTGGTAAGTCAGTTTTAAACTGGACACAAAGTGGGTTTGGGTTTGTGTGACACTAGCAATGGCCACCTGCCAGTTTGTTACAGGACAAACCAGTGCTAGCCTGGGCCACTACAGAAATGCTCCAGAGCTCACCCAGGGATGCCCGAGGCAGCCAAGCTTTCAGAAGTGCCAGACACGAGTGACTTCCACCGCTGCTGTCTTTGAAGGCTGTCTGTGTTCTCCTGGCTCTCTGAGGGTACAGACTCAGCCAAGACTTGATAGGTTTGCAAACCAACATTGCTGGCAGCCTTCCACAGACAAGGCTTTTGTTAAACAAACAAACACAGATGAAGCCAACAGGTGCCCATGCTGCCCAGGCTCCGGACTTGTTCTTATTTGTTAAGGAGCAGGATGAAATTGAACATTTACATGCTTCAGAGACATCTAATGGCTGTATGATGCACTGATGGAGAAAGCAATCCCACCCAAACATTGCCCAGCTGTTCCCCACTAGCATGATCTATCAAATTGCAATCAACACAGGGATTTCAACCCATTTTATCACCTCCTGCTTCTGCCCAGGGATCTTACCTCTTGCTTATGCCCACCCTCTTTGTATCCAGGGAGCTATCTTTCACAGACAACTGACAGTATTCACTGACACTGAACCATCCACTTGCCAAAATTCTGTGATGTGGGAAGACACTTGTAAAACAGGTAGAACTCCTGAGAGCTTGTGCTGTGTCTTCCTGGTTAGTCATCTCTGAACCCAGTTTTTCCATTCCCATGGTTTGACTTTTTAGATAGAAATCTAATTAAGCACAGAGTAATCATAACATCACTAGACCAGGTTTGAATAAGTAAGTACCATTATAACTAAGTTTCATTGAAACGTTTCCATGGATAAGTAATATGGAGGAGCACCAGATTAAGCACTATAGCTATTTCAGTTTCTTCAGCAGCAAGCCTGTCCATTTTTTTTTTTTTTTTTAGGTATCATTCTGGCTGATTTTTTTGAAGCTTATAGGTTGGTCATATTTTTATTTGTAATCTACAGTGTTGTTGTGAAAACTCATACACACAATTCAGAGAAAAAAAAAGAGAATGAGGGAAAAAGCTTTCCAGGCGTACAACACACAAAGCAATACTGCCTGACATCATCAAGGCTTATTCTATGTCTTACAGACTTGATTTTATTAAACTTAAAAATTAACTTCTGTTTCAAAACGTTTATTCACAAACTTATTTGAAAAAAAAACCAAAACAACAAACACACACCCAGAAAAAAACCACCCCCCAAAAAGCAACCAGCAGCTCTTCATTCCTCAGAATGCCTGGCTTCACAGCCACAAGCTTGTTTTTATACAAAAACTCACCTGCACTGGTGTACACTCTCACTGGACACTGGAGATCCTTCCACCTTGGAGTGCTTATTGCTGGCTCAGACCCCGATGAAGTCAAGAGAGCTCAAGGCAGTTGCAGCCCTGGCCTGCACAGAGCTCATAATCCAAGGTACAGAGCCCATTTCCCCAGGCTCTCCTGCGGGCTGAGCAGCCTGTGTGTTAAGAAACCTGCGGGAGGAACCTCTACTAATAGCCAAACTCCCTACCTTTGAGAAAACTTGCTGGAAATTTCTAAGAGTATCCTTTACAATTCTGCTCCTCTCTTACTGAGCCACTTCCGTTAAATTATCACTTCGCTGTAATATTTTAAACAAGATTTAATGAGAACTTTCAATAATTCTTAGCACAAGTTTTCCAGTTGTAAGAAAATCCACAAATAATAACAAGCCTGTTAATAGAGACCTTTGACACGAGCAAGAACTAAAAAAGAACTGACTGAAACCCAGTCTACTATATCAATTTCTTTATCATTTTCATTTCTCTCAGCTCAGACAACTCAGATGTTCTTTCGCTTTAGTTCACCAACAATTTTCGAAGTCTTAGTTCTGCAACCATTTTTTTCCTCAAAAATTATCAAAAGAAGGATGACTTGATTGAACAGTTTTACTTGATAATAAAAACTTTCCTATAAACCTCAGGTTGTATAAACTGTGTGTAGGAAAAACACAGGCTAAATAAGTTGACTTTGTCCTGCATGGACCACTGAAGTCACCTACAACATAAGCAAATACATATTCTCCGTTCAAAATTCACACGTGGGTGTTTTTCGTTTTTTTGGTTCTTTTTACGGTGGAAAAAATACCCGATGGTAAGAAATTAGTCAAAGTTATTCAAAAAAGAATGTAAATTAAAGTGGTATACTTAAAAGATTCTTCCTTTGTCTCTATGCTCAGACCACGTGCTTCTTCTTAGATTCTTCTCAGTTTCTGTCCATGTACTCTTCAAGGCGCAAAAGCCACTTATTCCAGTACTGCAGGCACAGATCAGGATCCATGAAATGGGAGTGCGCAGGGGAGCCGTTCTTATAGGCAACCACGATGAGTCCACAGCGAACCTACATCCAAAACCAGAGGGCTGTCAGAAATTCAGCATTCAGATAGAATTGTAAGAACTAAACCTCACTACAGAACATCATCGTTACATATACATGTGTTTCTTAAATAAGAAATGGGAAATAAAAAAGGGGAATAATTCATCATAGAATACTTGGAGACTAACATTCAAATGCTCCAAAAATCCAGACTCCAAAGCTCCGACCAGAGGACATGAACTCTGAGTATGAGTGATATTTATACCTTGCAGATGGTGGTAGAATTCCCAGTGACTGATGAGGTTTTGCCTGGGGCCATATAACCAGACTGATGCACTCACTCTCTAGCATCAGTCTGAATGGAAACAGTTACTTAGGTACATTCGGATATTTTTCATACCTGACAAATCCAAAATCCAAAATCCCAAACAGCCAGCGGCAGTGGGAGGCAGGAGGCCAATAGCAGAATTCCAGAATTACTGCCCACGTGTCGCTCTGTAAGGATCACGTCTGTTAAGTGCTTGTGTTTACTGACCTCTACACTATCCTAGAAGGTCCTTCGCACAGCCTATGAAATAACCTGCTCTCTTCTGCTTCGTATTTTGCCCCTTCAATGTCTGTATTGAACTGAAAATCCTTCAGGCCAAGCAGGCAGGCTAGAATTGCCTTTGGAGTCTTTAAAAACATTATTCCACTGTCTTCTGATTAAGTGATTCACAGCACGCTGCTTTCCCAAGATGAAACACAGCACAGCTTTCAAACAGCAAGTCCATCACTTAGTTCCTCAGTGTTAGTGCGATATAGCAACAGATGATGCAAGCGAGGCCGTCCCACATAATTTTCCTCTTTGTAGGCTCTTTTGCTTTATTACTTCTCCTGCCCCTTCCTATTCTTGACACAAGTAAAAATCACACAGAACAAAGCCAAGTCACTGTGAGTTCATCTGATCTCCTAAGACTATGAGCTTCCCTTGGTCCCACCGAGCACGTCCTTAAAATCACTGAAAATACACTGCTGACAGCCAAGGGCAGGAGATTTAGCAGGAGCAGCAGAATTATTTCACAGTATGTCAGTGAACCTGATCTAAGGCTGGGCTCCTTTGTTACAAATCCTACCAACAGTTCCAGGTTCAAAAGGCAGTAGGCAGGGAGAAGTGGGTGCTGCTGCTTGTCCTGGCAGGTAGCAGGCCTACTGACCTGGAAGTCATAGTTGGCGTCATGATTTATGGCTCCAATATATGCTGCAACCTGTAATGGGTTGTCATAAGTATTCTTCAGAAACGGCTTTGGTTTCTCTGAAGTTTTCCAGTCAATCACACACAATTGGCCTCTGCATAAGAGAACAAGATAGGACAATGTTTTAAACTTAAGTAGTCACAAGTAAGAAATAAGGGGAGAGACAGCACATAAAGATTTATCACTCTCAGCCATTTTCACCCTGATGTCATATTGCACATTCTTATGTCTAAACATTTCTCTTTCACACTGGCAGTTTAGATCTCAAAAAACAACACTTACTAATACCTGCTGCAGTTCCTGGCAAATGCTGGCAATCAATTAACCCTGTCCCACTCATACCCTGCTCCAGTAAGGAACTTTCCACAAGAAAAAAAACAGCACTGCTGTCATCAGGTTCATCCAGGGAAGTTAATCTGTTTTGCTGGTCCTGGATATCTGTCCAGCTTCCCCCCAGCCACTCAAAAACATACCAGCTGCAGCCTGGGACGTGGCTTCCCACACACCACAGACATTACAGGGGCCTGAGAGTAGACGAATCTCACCGATACTTTGCCACGCAGTCTACCAGGCCCAGATACTGAAGGGTCTCATGATGAACTGCACTTTCCAGAGCTTTCACTTCGCTGATATCTTCTAAGACATGTTCCACACTTGATAAGTAACCAGAAATAACACCATCTTTGCTCTTCTCCTTAATTGCCATCTCTTCAGACAGGAATATAGATTCCAAAGCTGAATGAAAGAGCTCTCCTTGGAGGAAAAGATCTGAGAAAAATAGGAGAAAACACATTTTAGACACTACTTTAGATTCATATTCTACAATGCAGCTCTTAAACCAGTCCTGTTTTTTGTACTGAAAGCTTGAGGATGTAGGGAGAAGGGAGACAGAAAATAAATTGTCAACGGTGAAATTAGTATCTCTTATATTTACATTACTTTATTTTTTTAGTCTCACTAATTACTTAGAAACAAAATATGATTTTTAATTTATTGTATTCAAAAGCATTTGTGAATTTCTAGGAATTAAAAACATTCTTGGCTGCACTTGCTTATTCTGCTGTATCAGTTCATTTGAATGGAACTCATCTCCTGAAATGAGTGGGCATAACTGTAGGAGTAAGAGTTTGTCTCCGAAATGATTCCAAGAAAGATAAATTTTCAACTGTTATATAAGGTTTGTTATGCCACCTTATCCACTGAAGTGCTTAATAATTAAAAAAGCATAATCACAGGATATTAGTTTTTAAAAGCATAATAATTCATGTAAGGAGCACTCAGGTATTTATCAACCTGGCTACTTACTATCCCCTAGGTCCTCCCAGATCCCTTTCAGTCCTGCAGCTTGGAGGAAGTCACCTTTGTATGTCTTATGAAACAAAAACCTCTAAATGCATGGCAATTTCATGGAAGAGGCTGCATACACCGAATAAACTAAACAGGTTCTGAAAAACTTAACCATAAATAGCAGGACATACTGGATTTTAAACACTCAAGGTATGATTTCAAAATGCCCGTTTCCATCTTGTTACAAAGTAGCTCTGTATCTGCAAAGAGGCTCAGTAACATCAGCTGGAGAATATCTACTTGTAAATAGACACTGGCAAATAGAGAAACAGAGGCAGACACGATGAAGTAAAAGACGTCTACAGTCTTATTCTAATTCTCGTTTCCCACAGATTTCTAATCCATTTTAATGGTTCTAGAACAAAGACCAGAGCTTAGACTCACTGATAACAGGTACACTCACAACATGCTCTCATGAAATGGAAACAACTTACAGGATTTCCAAAACGCTTGACCTGTAGGGCCGATACTGCCGCTACGTTAAAATACACCTGCCAGTTATATTCTAGTGCTTCTACTTTGCAATTGCACTGTGGTTAGACTTACTTTTGGTATACTTTGCGAAACCATCTTTTCCAAGTTCCGCTATCATTTTCTCCTTCCATCTTTCTAAATAAAAGACTTGCTGTGGAGAGAGAGTTTGTTGAAGAATATGGGTAACACTGGGCATTTTCGTTTTTTGTAACGCGATTTTCCTGGGGAGGTTTGAATCGCTGTTGAGAGGAGGAATTCTCTTGTCGGGGTTTATTAAAGGAACCCAGTTCTTGGGAGTCTTTGTCCCAGCTTTAACTGGAGGTCTGTGTTTATCCGGTGGCCCATATAACAAATTGTCTTCTTCAAATAATGTCTCTGGTGTTTGGGCGCTGCTCTTGTAAGACGTAACAGAGTAGACCAAGTTCTTGTACTTTTCTTGGTCAACTTGTTCGTAACCGTTTGCTTTTTTCTTTTTACTGTAAATACATGCAGAAGTAGCCAGACAGGTGTATGGGAACTGCTTTTGACAAAATGGTATTTGAAAAAGCATTTCCAGTTTCCCTGGTTTCCTGGACAGTATCTGTAGGAATTGCATTCTGGTAAGAAGTGTTTGTGAATGGTTAGTTTTCTTTCTTCTGTTAGGAACATCTGGAGGTTACAATATTTCCCCCCTGTGGAAAAAGACATATGTGAATTCCAGAGTCATAAAACTTTACCACCATCTTATTTTTGCCCTAGGCCAAAAAGAGAATTGCTATAATCAAAGTGTCCTCATATACTTCATGCCACCAAAACATCTTCAGATAAATAAGAGAAAGAACCAATAAAAGCAATGAAAAGAGGAAATGGTCCTGAAAAGAACAGGTGCTGGTCTGCAAAATCTGAAACAGGGCAAGCACATAAGGATGTTGCAAGTAGCAAAAGCTTCACCAGAGGACATTCCTCCAGGAACTGAATCATTAACTTCCATGATAGTAGATACAAAAGCCAGATCTGCCACAAACAACCCCTCAAAAGAGGGAGGGTAAAATAAAAAAAAAGCAACGTAGAAGAGAATGAAGCAAATCTATTGCTATGAGGTTTAAAAACTTTGAAGTTTACAGTGAATGCCCAACTTAAAGAGGACTGCTGTGGGGACAAGGTACCTTATGGAGAATAAAACCATGTTTTTCTTTTGTAGGAGAAAGCAGACAGCAGCATTATATACAATTGTGAGACCTGAGACTAAGAAAGCCAAAAGAGAAACCACATGTACTTCAAGTATCTTCAGACTCAGAGAAATCTTTTAAAGTTCAGCATAAAATATAAAAGTATTTTTCTAAACTGAGTTTCAAGCATAGCTGTGTTTTAAGACACTTAGGAAATTTAAAAGCAAGAACCAGCAATACTGTACTACTTTGTAACTGCAGGGCTAAGTTCTAGGAAAGTTTTTTCACATGGATAAAATGTAATACCTGCATAGTGGCATTTCACTCAAGGTTAAATACATGCAGAATTGAGGCCCTACTCTCCTACTGAAAGTTATCTGCTTACCATTAGAAAGTTCCCTCCACTCACTGCAAAGAAACAATCTGCAAGCTACCATCAGCATTCCGTTCCAGACAATACTTTCATGTTATTCTTTTCCTTCCCCACACTCCTTACACAGCACTTCACACACTGCCCAAGCTGTGTGCGCCACAGGAAACAAAAATGTACTTTGGGGAATTATTTTGTATGAACAGATCCCATGCTCATGCACAGCTGCTGTGGGGGTGCAAGCATCTGTCACACAGAACAGTTTCCAAAAATGAGTTTGTACTGGCTGCAGCTGATTAGATCAAAGCATCTCATAGCAAGAGGCTGAGACCTTAGACTTTGGTTCCATGAATATTGTTGTTCATCTGTAAAGGACAAAACCATCCAGCTGTACAAATTTAATCAGGAGTAGGCAGATACACTGCTTTTTTTCTTTACTGGCTTTACATTTTCACACTGACTTTGTATGGTCCAGGCAAATAAAAACTGTTCTGTAACCTGAAGGCATGCAGCCCGATACAAAAGTAATCTCTCAAAAACAAATCCAAACACAGTAAGAACTTTGTGTCATGTAGCCATAGCATTTGTGACCCAGTACCAGGTGCCCTGCAGCCAGATTTGCCATCCTGTTGTGAGATGGTCTCAGTTTTTAGTAAGGGTTTCCTGTAATTATGATGCATATCAATCAAAACAGTTAATGATTTTAAAACTGCTTCAAGGTCCATAAGAGAATAATATAGGAAAATAATGAAAGTAGCAACTGGTTAGTTCTGCTACTGATTTTTTACAGTCTGATTAGGCATAAAGCAAGCCACCTCAAAAGGGAAACCTTACCAGTTAAGATACCTAGAATGTGTCACTTCTGTTTTTTAATCATTACATATCAGAGCAATTCCAAAACTGCTCTTCTTATCCAGCAGAACTGGGCTGGGTGGAGTTGCACTTGTTATCTCATTTTTCAATACCGAACAGCAAGAATGGACATAATCATCTGAGCATCCTCTGACCTTCAGATTCCTGTAAAAACTACTCTCTTGCCTGTACAAGAGAAAAGCAGTTAGGTGCGCTAAGAAAGGGCAAATCAGACAACTAAAACCATTTTAATGCCACAAAAGTATGCAAGTTTTGCCAAAAAATAGAACCACCTGCTTTAGACAGTTTGCCAAGCACGAAATTGGACTGTGTGTTTTGTAACTTAAGTCCTGCCCTGCTTCATTTCGTGGACATGTGAGGAAGTTTTACAAATTTTTGTGAAACGTAACCAAATGTTATGTTCCCTCTAATTTCTTAAATGATGTCATAAGCAGTTTCTGCCATAAAGAGGCAGTTTTTACATTATATGTTTCAATTCTTCAGTTCACCTTGGGTTTCCAGCCAGTGAATTTTGCATGTCTTCACTATTACTGCCAATTGTTTCAATAAATATAAGAAGCTCCCCATGTTTTGTCATTTCACTATCACGAAGCAGCTCTCTTCTGCAAATCTGCTACACCAGGATTTGCAGCAACTCATTGTTCTCAGAGACTATCGCATTTTTAATAGATTTTTCAGTGTTGGAATGGGATTGGTTACCTGGCAGAATCTGCCCTTTGCTAAAAAAGAAATAATGAACGATGGTATCACATTTCAACAGGTGTCAGTTTGCTGTAGGAGGTAACAGAAAAACAGCAGAAGCAGCAAACAGATACATAGAGGTGAGGCTTTAATACTGTAAGAAAATTTTTTTCATCATAAAAAGCAGTGCAAAAAATCGTCTCTTGGGATTTACCTCTCAATAAAGGTATGATTTAAAAGAAACCAAGAAAAAAAATATATTCTTTTCCCAATGTAATAGTGTCCAAGCTTGTAGCTTCTTAGGCTATTGTTTGAAGACCATTAACATGTGCATTAATTGTCATTGTGTGTGTGCACTAATCAGAACAGAATAAATGTTAGGTCAATGACTGTATATTTGTTACATCAGCCACAGCTTTTTGTCAGCTGCAGAAAGCAAGATGATACCTGATTCAACATAAAGTTCATTTGTACTAAGCTGCCCCCTCAGCACTTTTTAAGGAATAAATTTATACCAGATCAGTGTTTTGAACCATGGAGCTATTGAAATATGGAACATTACGAGCCCTAGACCTAATTAACAACACTGATGCCGTGCTTCAGTGACGAGTATAAATTTTAACAGCACGTATTACGCTAGAGTAATACCTGTGGAAATGTTTGTGCACTCTATGAACTGAACCACCAGGAGAGTTTGTCCACTGCTGCCCTGTTTTATAAAAAGAAAGAGGTTCTAGAATTGCTAAGAAATAAGGAACACTTGTGTCGAGCTAAATAAAGATGCATGTGTCTTTCAATAAATCACAGTGGCATTTCTGTGCAAACAACTCACATTTACAAGAAAGAAATGGAGTGGTTTGGATCTACTCTTGCCCCCAAAGAACAGAATTTAATTGATATTTCCCTCTGGGGAAGTGTCTTCCTTCTCTCTGAAAGGGTCTGTGGTTGAAGACTGGCAGAATTGCTTCAAGTGTTGCACGATGAGACACACTGGAGAAGTGAACACATAAAAAACAACCCGGAGGAAAGAAAAAGGGGGAAAAAAAGGAGGACTTAACTTTCCCCAGCAAGATGACTTTGCAGCTCCAACAATAACTGAGCTAACAAAACTGAGGAAATTTTTTCCCGGATAGGAATAAGTGGCTTAACAGAAGGAAATCAAAAGGATTGCTTAAGAAAAAGTTCACATCTATGAAAACCTACCTCTAATTATAGTTTTGGACAATAACCAGTATGGCTTTTTCTCCATAGCCACCTGTCCAGCAAACAAAAGCACTAGCTTACTTCAGAGATAATAAGAAAGAGCCCCATTAAACACAGCTACGGATCTGTTGCTGTGTCCCTAACTCCAGGAGAAGAAATGTACTGATGAAGGTATGACTTTAAGTTAACATCACAGGCTTTTCTCTTGAAGAAGTATTGCTAAGTGATGTAAGAAAGGCATCAGTACCCTATATTCTCTTTGTCTTTTTTTCTGGCTACAACTTAATAAGGCAGGGCTTTGACAGCTGTATCACTTTTAGAACTTTATACACTTGCCCAATCCCTGCCCCCAACCTCTCCTCCTTGGTTCCCTGCAGTTTGTAAAATAAATTATTGGACCTATACAGGCTAAAAATACACCTTTGCCTTTTGGGAAGTTTAGAGCATGGAGAGAGAAAATTTAGCAACTCAGTTTAAAGCATAAGCCCACAGAGCTACCCTGGAAAAAAGTTCAAACTTCATTCCCAGCTCAGCACTGGGAATGAAGTTAGTGGGAAACAGGGCTGTAACACGACGTCAGCGTTTTTGGCGACCTGTGCGAGTCGGGCTAACACCGGTGACCAAGTGTTCTCTAGCAGACAGACAACGCTTCCACACTCGCACCAGGCGCCTGGAAATGCGACAGTGCCGGACAGCCCCCTCCTGTGCAGGGCTTGCCCCTCGGATAAGCCACTCTGAACAACAATCCCCGCTGGACGCGGGCGTACCCACCCCAGCCACGGCAGCCCGGCTCGGTGGCAGACCCGGAGGCAGGGCGGGCAGGGTTCACCCGCCAGGGGTGCAGGTCGGGCCCGGCTCGCCTCCCTTTCGCCCGCCCTCACGACCCCCAGCCCGGCCCCACGGCCCTCCCGACCCGCGGCCCGCCGTTACCTCAGACACACTTCCCGCCACCGCCGCGGGCACCAGCGCGCAGGCTCGCCCCGCCCGCCGCCGCCGCCGCGCGCCCCGCGCTGCCCTCCGCCTCACGGGAATTGTAGTTCCCCCAGCGCCCCTACCCCTTCGCCAGAGCGCCCCGAAAGCTGCGAGAGGGGCACGCCTGCTCTGTCTCGCTCTCTTTGGGGTGTTGTCTGAAAGGCTCCGAGGAAAACAACCCAAATCTTTGTGTGAATGCAAGGGAAAAGAAATGTGGCGCTGGGCCGCCATCTTGAATGAAGGCAACAAGCAGCGCTCTGCCCTCAGCCCAGATGGCGGCCGTCCCGCGGGGGGTGTGGCGGCGGCAGCGGCGGGAGGCGGTGGCGGCTCCGCCCCGGGGTATATGACGAGGCGGCGGCGGGGAGGAGGACGGAGAGTGGTTGTTGGTGATTCGAGACATGGCTTTGCACGGCGGGGACGCGCAGGAGAAGGTAAGCGGTCCAGGTGCGGCGCGGCAGTGGTGCAGCGGGGCTGGCCCCATGGGGTAAGAGGGAGCTCCCCGCTCCCTTTGCCCCCGGCAGCGCTGGGACAGTGACAGAGTTTTATTTCTGCTCCGTTTAGAGTTTGTTTTTTAAACATTAGTTACCTTAGGCGCACTTAGCTCTCCCGGGGGTCGGGGGTCAGGGTGCCCCGGGTGAGCGTGAGATGGCACCTCCTGAAGGAAGAGGCCCAGGGAGAGATAAGGAGGTGGGGCAGGATTAAAGCTGGAGTGGGAAGGAGGAGGAGGGAAGGGTTGTGCAGCTGCCGTGAGGCAGTGCAGGCTGCACTCCTGGGCTGTGGCAGGAGCAGGGTGACAGCCAGGGCTCTGGAGCTGCAGGAACTGGGCCTGGCAAGGGATGCAGGAGCAGGACCTGCCATGAGGACCTGTCTCTGGGCACTAGCGGAGAAGCGCTGTAGGCAATTGTGCTGCAGAGGGTTCAACTTACCCTTTCTCGGTGGGTCAGCTGCCTAGTGTATCTGTGACCAGCCTTCCTTATTTCTGCTGCCTGGCTTAATCTTCCTAAACTACCTGATTTAATAACTATCCTCAACATACCTTGAATAGAAGGTAAGGCAGCCCTGTAACAGTCAGTGGATTGCTTCTTTGCCTTTCACGTTGTTGCATCTTAATGTAGTTTTGCATTGTGATTAAGCTTAGTTCACTTGCAGGAAGATGACTTTGTTTCAAACTGCCAGGGGTGCTTAAGTCTCTTCAGTCTGTGTTTTCTCCAGCTTTTTGGAACATGTATATTAGCTTACTTGAAGGTTAGAAATACACCAGGCCTGTTTACCAGTTTAGTAACTTCCCATAGATAGTTTCTTTTCATGTCTTTCCCTTCCATATGAATCTTTTTTGAAACAATCCTGATCCAGTAGAACAGATAAAAGTTTATCTGTTTTCTAGATCAAGTGTTTTCTAGCAGTTTGCTGGGAGCTGCCCAGTGCTTTAACTGTTTTCTGCTGCATGTGAAACTATTTGTATTAAAAATATCTGTATGAGTCTTTATAGTCTTTAAAATGAGTGTGGGTCTTTATAGTCTTGCAGGATCTGCAGGTGACGGGTGAAGGGGAAGGTCAAATATCAACTCTCTTGTAGCAATTGGTAACTTTTGAGTATTTATGTGCCTTTTTAACTTAGCAGGCAGGAGTATTGGGGGAGGGGAAAATGTTCCCAGGGTGAGGGTTGGAGTAGCTTTAAACTCTGATGTTCAATGGACATATATTAACTAGTTTGTTTCAGGTTTTAGGGCTGTCTTGGGATTCCAGCAGCATGGGGGAGGATAGGAATACTCCTGTCTTCTCTGTTCCTGTTTAGGTAAAGAAACAGCAACAGGGAACTGGTGTGTGGCCAGTAGATAAAGCCTGTGCCTGTCAGGAAAGCTTTGTTAGGTATTAACCTTGAATAGGAACCACTGGTAAGTATAAACTAAAAACTGACCCTGAGGTGGCAAAGCAGGAGAGGATCAGGATATGTAGGAAGAAGAAGGGAGGGTAGGATAAGGGTGATTGGAAGTGCAGTGGGAAAGAAGGTGTAATCTGTCATGGGGGAGGAAAAGGCACTTCAGAATGTGAAGCAAGTAGTGGGACTGCCAAGCTAAGCTTGAGTAAATACCCTGGTATTTCCTAATGTTGGTGGCTTGATAGTATTTTAAGGCTTCAGTCTGCAGTTAAAATGTTATAGATCAAAATATTGAGAGCAAATATTGTAACCCTTCCTTTTCAAAGTGGAAGACAAAATGTTGTGTCATAGCCTGAGACTTGCTGTTATAACTCACAAATGGTGATTCTCCATGCTGGACAAATTCTGCTACATATTCTGAAAGGAGCGAGGGCGTACTAGGTCTTGCTTATGCTTAGCAAAACAACTTCTTCTGCATGCTGCTGGGCCCAAAATCAAGTAGGGAGATGAACAGCTAGCAAGGTGAAAGCTACTGGATAAGGACAATGTACTGTCAAGAACATACAGCCTCCATGAAGCTGGCCCATTGGTTTGGGCTGATGACACGAGTTCCAGTCCGTGGGAGGTGAAACCAGCGTGGTGAGGCAGAATTTCTGAGGCTCCGACAGCCAGCTCTGGCCTCACTGCTGGAGGGCAGCAAAAGAGTCTTGTGGATGCTGACTGTGGCTTAGGGGTTTGCTGCCTTCGAACAACTTCCATTTTAGTCTGGTGTGCTTTGTGTTACAGGTGGCATATGGGCTAGGAGTGCTCAGCCACAGGCCATGCTCTACGGGCACACTACTGCAGCATGGTGGATTTGGCCTGAACGGCCAAAGCTGTTGCTTGAACCCTCAAGCTGATGAATCAGTGGGTTGGGTGGAGGTGTCCTACATGCTGCTATGAGCAGGGTGAGCTGGCAAGGCTTTTGCTTGGAATATGGGATCCTTGAATGTTTCTAAACATTATTCCCTCTGTGTTCTTCCTTCTGTAAGGAGGTGTGGGACCCCTTGGTTTCTGTAGAGGGTGATGCAGGGATCCTGCTGACAGGAGAGCCAAGTGATCAGACCAGCTTATTGCACAGTCAGAGGCAACAGGTGCTCTGGCTATAGAGGCTGCCTTCTGCTCACTTGGCAAGCGTTGTACTTGGTGAGGAATGCCATTTCAGTGTGACTAAATTGAACTGTTGTTCCCTATTTATTGGTGCTTTAAGCAAAATAATGAAAACTTTTACATCACTGGAGTTCTACAGTCCAAAGTCCCAAATTTGGCAGAGCATTTTGTATAGCGTAAGTAGCAACATGAAGACTGGTTCAATTTTTCTGGCTGTTTGCAAGCCAGACTACTTCAGGACTGTTCAGCTCAATGTCAGAGATAAGAGCAAGCCTGTCATGAAGGCTGCAAAATCAAAACTTTACATATGCTGTGTTGGCTCTTTACTGCTGCCTGTGTGCAGATGTGTTTTTAGTATCTTGATTGAAAGGAAACTTAAACTACTTGTGCTGAATATGACTGAAATGTAGTTCCAACAACTGATGCTGCTAATATCTGCTGGCCAGATACCCTGCAAGTCTGCTGGTTAACTCCTGGGTGTCGAAAAAGGCCTTCTGGAACTGATTGCTCTGTATAAACTACCAGAAAACATTGTGATCTCTTAGTGCTCTCTGGAGAGCACTTAAACTGGTTTAATTAAAAAGACTGTTCTGTAAAAAGTAATGGATTCTGGGTAGCGGCAGATGTAATTACTACCAAAGTCTTCTTTGTGGGCTGTTGCTTGAATGACAGCAGGAGGTGATCAGTAAGGGGAGAGGGTTTTTATAAGGTAGCTGACAATAAGCAGAAAGCTCTGACATAGGAGCCCTTGTCGAAGGGCTCCTTGCTCTTTTCAGGAGCCTGGCTATGTGGAAAATCCCTGGATTAATCTGTCTTTGAGAATAAGTACATATTCTTACTTCACCAGCAGTTGGATGTTGCACACAGTTGCTTGCACTGGCAGATGCTTTTGTTAGAATGCAGAAGTAACATCGAGTCATCCAGAGCTGATGCTAAAACTGCAAAGGGTGTAACTTGAAAAGCAGCAGTTCAGGCCACACAGCAGAACTAAGCGGCTTCAGTGGCTGAGGGCATTTCCCAGGGATGCCTG